ACCTCGAAATATATTTTCCCTTTCTTTTTTTGTTTTTCTTCGGTCAAAGTGACCGTGCTATTTTTTTCAATTTCCTTTAAACATGCCTCCTCACCTTCATTTCCCTCGGCCATGTTGGCCGTTCGATCGGCCACATAGGCCGATATTCGAGCTAAAAAGCTCGAGTAAGGATCTTCACTCTTCATTCATCAAGTGGAGCCGAATCTTTTTCGGCTCGAATCACAAACCCTTTTTTCACGTCCTAGCAGAAAGTTTTCTTAATCCCTTCTTCTTCATCCATCACTCCAGAATTGTAAGCATCGAAAGGTTTGGTCTTTGCAAATGTTGTCAATTGTTGATCAGCAAAATACATACCAACTTCATATATTTTCTGGTCAGCCTCGTGGACCTCCAACCCCACGTCATCGTTCCAAAAGAAGATCTTTTGATGCACCGTGGAAGGAACAACACCTACCCCATGGATTCACTCTCGACCTAGTAGGACATTAAAATTCGCCTTGGATGGCGTCACTATAAACATGGTAGTCCTCTTTACACTCCCAATCTACACATCAAGCAGAATCATGCCTTCAGGGTGTGAGGACTTTCCTGCGTAGTCCGAGATCATTATGTTATGAGGCTTCAAATCAACCAGGGATTTTCCAAACCTCTTCAGCATTGTTTTTGGCAGGATGTTCACAACTGCGCCTTCGTCGACTAAAACCTTATTCACCTCTTGCCCCTCGATCATCAATGTTAGCAATATGGGCTTAAGGTGTCCTTTCATTTCCTCTGTAGGCGAGTCGAACACAGTAGAGTTAAATTTAGGTACAACCCTCGAGATTTGATTGACCCATATGATCTTCGATTCATAGTTGGGATCATCAAAGAAGTCTTCTTGATGAATATCCTCTTGTTCATTCACGGCCTCTATGGCCCCAGCATACTCAGAAGGCAGAATGGAAACTATCCCACAAATGTCTTCTAGGGAGTCCTCAAAAGAACTTTCGAGATGATTCCCCTTTCTGAGGTACAGGAATCGAGAAACGGTTTCCCCTGACGCCTTCAAAGGTAGCCTTACGCATCCTTTGATGTCTCCTCCACTGGGTTTTGGTTAGATTGTTGAAAGGCTGTCGAAAGCCACGCCCATAGCCTCCAATCGAGACTCTACCGGGCCCTGTAGTCGAATTTGGAGCTTTCCCAGGAATTCCTTGCATTGGATGTGCAGCATAATTCATTACCTGTTTTCCTCGTCCCATGCTTCCCATCATTGGCCTTGGTGGAGCAGTCCATTTTCCCATAGGCACATTCGCATTCGACACAAAAGTATTGCCGAATCTCGATGAATTATACATCTCCATTTTTCCTACTGGAGCATTATATTGAGGCATATGAACCTGCCTCATAGTTAACCCAGCATTTGGTCCAGCATTGGGCTTGGGTTTTTGTTGAATATTTTCAGCTTTATAGTTCCTCATCATATCTGATTCTTCAAAGGCTTTAGCAGCAGCTCTATCGAAAACAGCGCTGCATCGAGGACATAACATTACTTCCCTATCAACCTCTTTCTTTTTAGACAAGAATTTGACTAAGCTGTCTCCCTCTTTACGGTAGATGGGCTCCTGTTCCTTAGCGAAATCTTCCATTAATTCCTCGAGCTTTTCATCAGAAATGGGTTCGATGTTCTCATCATCCTCGACAGCAACATCCACCATGTTGATCCCCATCGGAACTGGTTCGACGTATCCAGTATGAGCAGCGAATGGGTTTGTGTCAACTTTCATGTCCTTTTCACCGAAAGCAAGGCGACCATCAGTAATCACCTTTTCGATCAAATCCCTGAAACGCACACAGTTGTTAGTCCAATGACCATACATATTATGATATTTGCAAAATTTCTTTCCTTTTCTCTGCTCGAATGATGGGATCTTATGATTTTCTGGGAGTACAATTTGTTTATCTTTTAGTAAGATATCAAATATATTTTATATCAAATATCTTTTCTGCTTTAGTTACGTCGAAACTATATTTCTTAGTCGAATTTCCTTCTACACTATCTCCTGGTTTTAACATTTGACACTGATACGTGGGGCCAGGACACAGTTCTGCTAAGTTGATCTCAAAATCTTCACTCGAAACCTCACAGTTAGAATCTTCACTGAATTCAGAATTTTCTAAGTAAGCCACCTTTTCCTTTCGAACAAACTTATCAAATTTTCTTAATCTTTCTTTTTCTATTTTGATTTGCTCAATTCTTCTTACCTTCTCGGCTAATTGGGCCATGTCTCTCAACTGTTCATTCACTAATTTTTTGCGTATCGAGAAATCTAACCACGTTGCTGCAATCCTAACTAATTCATGTTCAGGTATATTAGTATAACATCAAGATTTCAATTGCCTGAATCTATTTAGATAGTCATCTAAAGTTTCGTGGTTTTGCCTCTTAATATTCATTAGATCGACTATACTCACTTTCGTTTCTTCTCTGAAGAAATGTTCATGGAAACTACCTTCTAACTGAACCCAAGTGTGTATCGAATTCGGGGGCAAGGTTGTGAACCATATAAAAGCGTGTTTAGTCAATGAACTTGGAAAACATTTCATTTTTAAATACTCATTATTTGCCAAATCCCCACATTGAACCCCATACCTAGCTATGTGTTCGACTGTTGACTCAGTTAACTCTCCCGCAAATTTTGAAAACTTTGGCACTTTTATTCCTCGGGGTAGTTCTACTTGAGTTATATAATCTGGGAAGGCTGACACAAAGTAAGGACGTTCATTTTGACCTACGTCGAATCCATGTCTATTCAGTATTCTTTCTACCATTTGATCTAAGTTGTCCTGTGATTCCTATTAGGTCGAACTACGTTCTGATGAAAATTCTCATTCCCCCCAGGATTTTCCATCTCATTCAGATTCGCGCTCATGGCTCTCGAAGGTGTCCCATCACCTAATTTTTCTCTTATTTTATTTATCAATTCATACAGAGGAGTCATAATATTCTGCATTGAGTTGACAACAAATTAATCATGTCATGATTACTATGGTCCATTTGTTGTCGAAGAGCCATCATGGCTTGGTTACTAATACCCGTAGGTACATAACTGCCTTGTCGAATCAGAGAGCCCTCCTGACTTGTTCCTACATGTTGATATGGGTCATTCATAACAAAACCCATGCCATTCGGCCTAGGATTATATCCCTGTGGGGATACATGCGTTTGTGGATTAGGTCCTATTTACGGTATTGACATTTCGACATGCACAGGTTGGGTATTTTGCCAATTCTGTGGCATACCCCAGGGATATTCCCTAGTGACATTCGCTAGTTCATGAGTAACATTTGTTTGCCTAGCTGTGTTTTCGAGTAAAACAGGGGATGAAAACGTTGCCCCCCTAGTCACGTTAGTCACATTATCGGGATTGGAATTTGCTTGCTCTACATCTACGTGATTATTATTGTTCGTGCCTGTTTCTCTATTAGATGTAGACATTGTTCTTCCACTCCTAAGTCTCATGCAACACACATACCCAAAACTAGTCCAATTATGATTTAAACGAGTCCCACCGGGCGTGCCAATTTGTTTACGGTGAAATTCGTTCGTGGACTCTTTATATTCGAACTAGCACGTAAATGGTTTCAATTTAGGCTTTTGATTTAAGAACAGGAAATGGAGTGGACAATTTTAGTAATTACTTGTTTCTAATGATTCTTCAACAATTAACAAACAATAATTTCCAGACATATAAATGCTAAGATGAACAGAATGGATAATTAAAATATTTGCAATACAAATCATGGCTCAACTTGCATACTGTTCCAAAATTACAATGCCAAAATGATATAATTTCATGGATTACAAGAGATAAATATTAAAAGAGCTACACTAATTCTACTCCTAAAAAGCAAGGTAAAAATGGTCAAGAATTAGTCATACCAAAAATCGATTCTGTGCACGAAAGCCATATGCACGGGCAGAGAGTGCTTGAGAATTTAGTTCTGACAGTATGAGTTTTTTCGACCTTTGTGACAATGCAGGCTTCTTGAATTTATAGAGTGAATCAATGACGGTTAACTCACTCAGACGCTCAAGCACGTAGGCCACTATGAGATAACCGCTACCCACTATGCTCATTATGTGGCTTCTAAAGTGTAACTTCCCATAACCGTTCTTCGCGTATACTAACTTCTCGACTTGGACGCTAACTATCTTTGTATGATCATAAGCACCTACACAACTTCACCAAATCTCGAACATTGTTCAACTCGAAATAATTGTCTTCGATCTCAAATCAGCTGTTATTGGCTGGAGTTGATCTCAATATTTTTCGAGAAGTTTTATGTATGCTTCAAACTTTTCGACTATATTTCTAGCACGAATACATAAAACTCCTAATACGTTCCAGATAGGTGTTCATCCTCCTCCATCTTTCGATTAGCTTCATAAGTACATCTTTCGATTTCCCTGATTTTCGAGTAGTCTCAACATATATATAATGTCATTTTTTTTATTTTCAAATAATTAATAAAACCCAATTTTAAATACCATCTCTGTCACCCAATTTTAACGTAATGAGAAATAAAAACTTTAATTTTTACTGTTATTATATATATACAGACGCTATTATGCATTTTTTTAATTATAAATCTTTATACTTTATTTTGTTATAATTGTAATTAACAGTTGATACTAATGTACGTTAACAAATTAATAAGAGAATGAGTTCAGCAATATTAATTACAAACAATATAGATTATTGTGTATGTTTAACATGTCTAATTTATTTTATTTTGGAAAAAGTATTTACTTTTATTAACTTTCGAGAATCATCTAGTGCATAAATTAACGGATACTTTATAGGTTTTTTGTGTGATATCAAATTCGATCTTTTAAGTACGTATTAACTTTAAATATTTGAAAAGAGAGCCTTTTTGTCAATGATAATCTTCCTCAGTTCAAAGAAGATTATTTGTGGTGAAATATACGTGTGACCTCTTGTATAAAACTAAGAAAAGACTTTAAAGAGAATTTCATATAGCAAATAATTAATTATTTTATTTTTACACGATTCTAATTAACTTGGCACAGCCTAATTGGAACATGAACTTTTATTTTTTGTTGCTGTTGTGATCCAGATTATACCCATACTTCGTCTCCAATAGATTATTTCATGAAACAATGGTCTTGTCTTGTGGAATACTCTGCACACCACCACCATAAAGCAAAGATTTCACATACTCTTCCAGCTTTGATGGGCTATTTGTGTCGTAACTGTACATCAGAGGTATCATCCGAGCAGCATTCAAGCAAAGTTTAGTGAAAGAAGATGGCAATGGATTTGCTTCAATAAGACATTCTTTGTTGAGTCGTTTCCATGCATCCGAAATCAAATGAGTGACATGCTCTCGTGCTTGTTCAATAGAGACTCCTGGGTGCTCCTTCATGTAGCACTTCAAATACGATCCATCATTACCATCACGATTAACATCCTGCGTTAATTATATTGAACTTCAATTAAATATATAAAGAGAGGCATGCAAGGTTGATGTTGATGTTTCAATATGGAGAAAACCTATGATCCAGGATTCCAGGTTGTACATTTTCCGATTCATTATCTATTATTTAATGTCCATATTCATATCCTTGAAGTGGAATAATGAAGTTAAGATAATGTATTTTTCTTCACACCTGGTCTCCTTCTAGGTCATCACAAAGCCTTAGAATCGTGGCTGTTGCAGATATAATGTTTGGGAATTCATCCATTAGAGTCACGTTTTCCTCCGTTATCCCCTCACCCATGAGAAAGAATGAGTGGACGAGAATAACATGCACCCCAGTGCTGACTATCGCATTCTCCAAGTACTCTTCTGCCCTTGGCACGTTTCCTGAAGCAAACCATTTTGCTTCTTCCAGGTAAGCATTCAAGAGCCTCACCCACTGTAATAGGCAAAATTGTTATAGATATACTTAATTAATTCTTGATATATGATATGATAGCGTATCTATGCATTGAATGAAATCAATCCGTGTTCAAAGTATTAGTGAGATTGTACCGATTTTATTAAGGAGGTTGTAGGATTGCATCCATGTTTGACGAGGGTCTTGAAAGCAAATTCGTTAGTTATGTCATAAAGGGCCTTAAAGCACCCTTTCATGTACTCTGGTAACTGCCCCATGCCTTCCATGTCCCACCTGCGCGCATATCCCTTATCTTAATTAGAAACCAAATAAATGATTTTTTAAGAAATCGAAAGAGAAACTAAAAGAATAACTACAGTGAAATTAAAATGGGTGCAATAGAAATTTTTGTAAGAATATCATTCATAGCATTATTAATATTTCATTTTTCTATTACATACTATCATATATGTATAATTTTTTTAAATTTATCTCTCTCGTTCTTCTTTTTTAGATTACAAATTTATTACTTACACCTATTACTTATTCTCTTATTTTCTTTTTCTTTTAATATTTCACTTCCTTCAAGTCATTTTATATCCAATAATAAATATCAATACCTCTTGACCACTTCCGTAAAGAGAGTAAGGTCATCAATACTTGCACAAAAATCAAATATATCATCAATGATATAGATAAGGGACAATGGTTTCGTGATCTCAATCCTTGCTTCGGAGAATCGTGGATCTGGTAAGCATGCCATGGGCCACATGTACCATTTGATCGGTTCATCTCTAGCGAACTTTAGATCCTTTGCCAAACCTAGGTCTTTCCACCATCTTTGACATTATTATTATAAAGAGACACACATTAGTAGCTAGTCATCATCATTAGTATCAAACTACATATATACTACCAAACATCATATTTTGAAAACTGGAAACACACCTGGAAACTGCAAAAATTTCCTTCACGTGCAAAGAGCTAACCATTTGGGTATCAATTTTGGACAACTCTTTTAAAGAGCTTGTCTGGTCAAACTGTAAGATTGTTGACGTAAACCTTGACAAACATTTATGAATAGGATACCTTAATGAATCTGCCACAACTTTGACTTGAGGATGGTCATAAAATGTTGAGAGCCACGTGTTAAGATACTGGCGACTGGACTCCTCTGCGTCATGAAGATAATCTTCCCCTTCTATGCTTAATTGAGAGGCTTCAAACAAACCAATTAACCCATATATGTCGTCACAAAATATTTGTTTCAGCATGCCTTTCTTGTCCCAGAACTTATCAAATATGTCTGTAAGATGCAGCAAACAATATAAACATTTTAATACACCTATATCAATACAAAAGAAGTGCAAAATACTAATCAATACACCTATATAAGCCAAAGTTTTATAGATTAACTATGTACTATGAAACATGAACAACTCACTTATTTGAAATGTCAACTCTCGTCTCACACATGTAAGATACTTCTAATTAGGTCTTTAATTAAAAGAGAAAAAAATTGTTGCCTCGGACACACATATATAAGTCATATATACCTCTACATTCGAACACTTGAGTCGACATATATCTTTATATAGATAAACAATATTATTCAGATATTTATAATTTTTTAACTTTTAGATGAGTCATCTTAAAATCTAATATAAAATATTAAAATATAACTTCTCTCGTTTTTTAAGGATTGATGTCATAGAAAATACGTAGAAGATTGATTCAAAAAGATAAATATATCAACAATTTAGATATTTGTTACGTTACTCGTATTTCATTTAAATCTTTCTATTTGTGTTTGTATACCGTGTGCAGTATCCTATATGTTAGAAAGTAGCCGTGTCGACGTCATGTTGGATGTTCGTGTGAAAGTTCATACTTCATCGATTGACCAAGTAATAATATATGCTCACTTTAGTAAATATTAATGCAAACCTTCATGGATGTAATATCCCTCTTGTCTTAACAAACGAAATTGAAGAGCAACTTCTGACAGTTCTTGATAATCATTTCTTCGGTGGTTGTGAGCTCTAAGCATCAGATGTTTCCTACTAAGAATTGTCTCAATTTCCTCTTTAAAATGGTGCTCAATGCCTAATCTTTGTAAGGAGTCCACCATAGATAAACCATGATCTGCATTTTCTCTTGCCTTGCTTACAAGTTCGCGCTTAACTTCCTCCAATGCTTTAGCATGTTTCAATTGAAGATCTTCCTAAAATGATTGGAAGATTCAGTTAACTACAAACAGTCTCAATATCAAATTAATTAATACTCCAATATGTTAAAGAATAAAGAGAGAGAGAGCCTTACCCTGCCTTTTCCATTTTGAGAAATGTGGATATTTTGGTTCAAGGCAATAATAGTAAAATGGATTTTACCACGGCATCTACAATAAGGGATGGACTTCACAGCTGAGCATTTGTTTGGAGAAAATATTGGCTGATTTACTAAAGCAAAGCTAGATTGAAAGAAAGCCATAGGTTTGGTGTTGAGAATGAGAATATGCAGGAAATAAGCAATATAACCTTATTTATAGGCTTTAGCTCGACAAGCATGTACGGCGGCGGGAGTCCCACTCGTGAGAAACATGCATGCATGCCTGTATATATATATGACTTCAAGGGTCGTGTGTGATGTCACTAGCCAGGACCACGTTATCATACGCTAAAATTACAAAAATATTTCATTTCATGGTTTTCCATAATTAATTATTGGAGGCACTGTATCAACAAATTATTGGATCTTATACTAGATCTGGTTCTCTTAATCAAGATCTTATATTTAAGTATGAATAAAGTATAATTGAAAAAAAAATTTCTACTAATTAAAAGTAATTAGTTAGATTCTCCGACAATAATTAGTAAACACTTTATACAAAATAGTAGTTATAAAAATAAAGTCAGAAAAACTTATGAGATAAGTTTTTGTTTTCGGTTCTCAAAACTATTATTGTTAATAATATTTTCTTGATATATAAAAAATAGAAAGTTACTAGTTTATTTTAAAAGTTAGAAATATTGTTCGTGTAAAGATTTTTCTTTTAAGAAAATTAGTCTCTCATCATATATACCCTTTCTCTCAAAATTCTTTTAAAATAATAACAACATATTTATATTCTTAGATGGCTTTTTCCTTTTATATTTTTAATCTTAAATAATAGTTTCCCGACCGAACCTTCGCCTACCCCTCACTTAAGACGATACCCCTCACTTGAGAAGATCCTTTCATTGCCAACCTTATAAGGCAACACTATTATAAAGGAGATAACTATATTAACTTTAGGGGCTATATAAGGCAAGGGGGTCTTTTAACTTTTCACTTGAAATTTTTTTTGGATCTCTATTAATGAAGGGGTCAACATTTCTTTGTCCTAGTATATATGCATATCATACCTAGTGAGTTGGGGAGCCGAGAATGGAAAACGTATGGACTATTGGATTCTAAAGACCATGCTTCAGGGTTTTAAACTAGTTTTTCACATGAATCTATATTATACAATGTTTGTCTATTATAAACTATATGGTGTATGTGCGTGTGTGTTTGTCGATCCAAAAGTGCTAATGTGTGTGTGTGCACAGGTGTGTGTACACGTGTGTGTTTATTGATCCAAAAGTTCTAATGTGTGTGTGTATTGTTGATCTAAAAGTGCTAATCAAATGCCATCCTTTGTTGGAAAAAAGACTTTTAAGATCGGTTATTTTTTACTTTTGGCTAAAGAACCAATCTTAAAAGAGACGATCTTAAAAATTGAACTTTTAAGATCGGTTATTTAACCGATCTTAAAAGTCCAGCTTTTAAGATCGGTTACGAAATAACTGAGCTTAAAAGTATCAGGTTTAATTTTAATAAATTTATTAATGTAACAACCCTTATTTGGCCTCTCAATGATGTTATTTTACGACACTTCACTTTTCAACGTGTTTTGTCCTTATTGCACATTTTCTGGGAAACTTCCCAGAAGGTCATTCATCCTTATATTACTTCAAGTCAAACATGCTTAACTGTGAAGTTTTGATGAGATAAGCTACCAAAAAGCAAATGCGTGTGGTTAGTATAAGTAGTACAAATTAATTAATTTAAGTCATCCTCAACTATACATTCTCATACTTATACTATTTTTAGATCCCTCTCATTTTAGTGTGTCTAAACCGCTATAAAAATACAAAAATTATATAATAATTATATTACCAAGAATAATAATTATATTATATTTAATTAATCTTTATTTATATATATATACTTACTT